ATATACATACGTACATATATACATACGTGTGTATATATATATATATATATATATATCTGTATATATATATATATATATATATATAGAGTATTCAAAATTAATTTAACTTAATAAATTGTGCAGATTTCGAGATATAATCCTTGATCTTCTTTCCAATCGTGCCTTCATACGGACGTTTCACGCGATCGCATGATGTATATACGTGGGGACTGAGGACAGATATCTCAGAATGAGGTTATGTCGCCCAAAAATTCTTCGCGATCGAGGTCCTGAAGTTCGGCGAATGTCGATCGAGGAGAACAATCGATTCTTATCTTATCGATCGAGCATTGGAACGTCGGCACGGGAATTCGCGGCTGGGAATTGATTATGCGAACGAGGCGGATGGATCATGGAGGATGAAGCAAAACTCGGATCCACGAAAGCTCGAAACGGGACGTACATCGCATATTGGTTGATGAAGGTCAGTGAACGCTACGTCGCTTTGTTTACGCGTGCCAAGGGATTTAAAACTGGGCTCAACCTGAATGTAAAACGTTGGGGAGTTGTCGGAGGGTTGGCCTCGAGAATGAAAAATTCGAAAAGTCAGAAGAACCGTATAAAATAAATAAATAAATAAATAAATATATATATATATTTATATCACATTTGTATATATGTAGTGTATATGTGTGTGTTATGTAATATAATAATAAATGTATATATACACATGCACAATATATAATGTATAATATATATATTGTGTATGTTATGTGTATATAATTGGCCTAGTTTCCACCGAGGGTTTAATCCGGATCAGAATGTAAGAACCAACCAACTACAGTCGAGCATTCCTTTGCCGTTCGACTATAACAGTGGTTGGTTGGTTCTTACATTCTAATCCGGATTAAACCCTCGCTGGAAACTACGCCATTGATATGACTTATTTAAAATAAAAAATATAAAAAAGATTCCAAAAATTTATTTAAAATATATATTTTAAATATGACGGAGTCTCCGTATACACATACACGCACGCACACACACACACACACACACACGCGCGCGCGCGCGCATGTACACGCACATACATACACATGCATGCACGCACGTACGCACAATACACAGATATGTGTATATAATAATATGTATTCATATATTTATTTACTATCATAAAATAAAACAACATTATTGAAACATAATTTTAGTTTGATAATAAGTTACTAATTAATTCTTAGTTCGCGCTTTAGAAAGCAAAGAGAATGATTTTTGAAAATATAAAGAACGTGGGTGAGATAAATACAGGCATGCAGCAACCCTTTCCCCTCTCCATATAAATAAAAGTGATCTCCAGACAGGAAACGAGATAAACTAAGAAGAGTTACAATAACGAAAAACACATATGTACATAAAAATCAAAATATACATACTGTACGCCAAGATGGAATAATTCGATCAAATAACTATTATTAGAATGAAATCTCAATCGTGTAATAAAATCACGGACCAATCGATCGCTCGGGGCTATCGGAAGCACGACGGGGTCAGTGATCGAGCGAACGCTTTGTTTACATCTAAACGCGCCGTATTTTCGATAATCTCCTTCCCGGATTTCGTCTCTCTTTTGATTCACTTCGGTCTACATGAAGACGCAATACTAATTTCGCACAACAAATCGCGATGATAACGATAACGTGCCAACTAACTGATGACTCATTTCAGAAAGTCGCGACTTTTGTCATCAGTATCAAGATGTTCAAGATAGGATAAGAATGCTGGTTTTCAAGTGAAATGAAAAGAACAATCACTTGCGGATTTTGAAAAAATTCTATCGATGAATGGCTCAGACATTTTATCCTCCTTTATCCAATAACATGACCTTCAAGCTTGACTTCCCGAACAATAGTAATGCGTAGTATACGATCGGAACAAAGCGACTGTTAGACGCCCGCGTGGGATATACGAATAAAAGTATCGATCTACCTAGAAACAGCCAGCAGAAATCAGAGAAATGCATTAAAAAATTTTCTATTCAAAATTATGTTTAACAAATATATAAATTTGGCGGTGCATAAAATTATGAAACACATGAGCAACTTGCTCTAAAATTAAATCAACAAGAAAAAAGTACGAGGCTCACGTTCAAGATAAAATCACAATAAAATGTGATAAAATGGGTGTCAACTTTAACTTTAACTGAATCTTTAACGTAATCTCGTACTTACCTGTAGCACTCTCGTATCCGGGCACCAAATTTTCGTCAAATTACACGGCCACTCAACGGCGATAACAGTGACTACACGATCAGAAGAATCCAGTCGCGATCGAATCGTCCACAAGTGAGATGAGAAGCTTGGATTATGGGGACACGCCGCATCTGCTGCACCAGATGCACCGTACAGAATTACGAGTCCCGACCAATCGCGCGAGGCTCAATGGCATGCGAGCGGGGCATACCGAGATGCATGGTGAGCTTGGGAGTCCATGAGGGCGTCAAGAAGGCTGCGTTCCTTGGAGAAACGCAAATCAATGACAAAGAAAATTCGCATCTGTCCTCAAACAAAAAGAAAATTAATGCTGAGATTACGCATTTAATTCCTAAATCAACGTTGTTTAGGAAATAGAAAATTGATGAGGGCATGAATATGGAATATTGAACATTCGCAAAATAAAAGACTTGCATTAATTACATAAAAAATTAGATCCTGAAAATGAGTTAGTTTTCATGTATAATGTAACCTATAATATGTATAATATAACTAACAAAAAATATCATAGTTGAGATATTCATAGTTGGTTCTTATTTCAAGATTATCTTAAGTAATATCTTAAAATGCTAATACGGCTCTGTGATTAACTTATGACACTTTGAGACTGTATTTAAGATAGTTTCAAATATCTATAAGAACTAATTATGAATATCAGTATATAGACACAAGACTCAAACATGAATAGTTTCTAAGCTAAATGATGCTTTCCAGCAAGAGAGATATAGTATATTAGTATAACATAGATTACTTGAGCTTTAACATTGAAAAACAACAAGGATGTAATGATTCACTCTATTATATTGTATTATCTGTGTTTTTTGTTGGAAAATGCACATAGTGTATTAAAGATGCTCTGCAAGCACAAGTTTTACACCACTGATACATTATAGCAAAAATTATTCATTATCGAACATTATGTCTATATCTTCTATTTATCACATTATAAGCTGTATTATATATGAAAGCTAACTTATTTCACCGGAATTAATTTTCTACACACACACACGCGCGCGCGCGCACGCACGCACGCACACACGCATACACACATACAGTACACGCAACACACATACGGGATCCTTTATATAAAAATTATGATCAGGTTTCTTCCGCTTGACTTAGCATTTCAGAATTTCATTAAACAATAAATGATGGCTCGCACAATAAATCAACAATAAATCAGACTCGCATGCTCGATAATGCTGAGGATCAAGAAATAATCTTAACTTCGTCAAATACCTTCTTCCTTTTTTTTTTTTATTAATTCACTTCGGTATTGTTGTAGCCGATTTATGTCACATACTCGCACGTAATTATCTTCTTAAATTCACAAACAAATGCATAGTCAAAACTATATTTCAAAAAATTGGTCTTCAGTAACTTCTCGCATGCTGTTGTGAGAAATATTGGGACACATTCTAGATTTTTCTATATAACTGTAAGCGAAATAATTACATGCGAATACTGTCTAATTCTCTGTACATTCTGCCTATAGTTATTTAATTAAAGATTCGCTGAAAAACAATTCGTATGTACCAAAGAGCCGAGACGCAACAAGCTTTTGGAAAACTCACTTCGCTTTATCCCTTTTCGCAAATATTATCCTCGATACATATAAAAATAATGCTCGTTCTTTGTTAAACAAATTTGATTAAGCTACTACAATACTATCTGTAACGGTGAAAGTTATTTGTCGCAGAAAGACTAACATCTTTAACCATCACATTTAACTGTACATTCGACTGTACGCTGCATGTGTCGCTAAACTGAAAGTCGAAAATATATATCGCCAATAAATTAGTTTTGTTAACCGTGCAAACCAAACTTAATTAATTTCGCAATTAGAATGTGTAGTTACTTCTCTATCATTTTATCACACTGTTTGTTATTCGTTAAATAATATTGTATTGTATTTACATAGACATCCTGAATCACGGTATTTATATATAGTTTTTTTCTATATATAGTCTTCTCTACGATCTAAAGAACACTATTATTTCACGCTGAAAAATTTGGAGAAATGTACAATAGCGTATCACGCTACAAAATGTAGAAGAGTAGAAAACTTTCGGTATACGCTGCTGTTACTTAAATATAAACATTTTCCTAGACATTACAACCGAGAATTCATTTTCCAGGCGGCTGTCGACTTTGTACTTTCCATAGTATTTCTGAACTATCTTTCGCTACATTGCGTTTAGTATTATTAGGAATTGACATATCTAATCTAGGTCGAATACAGAACGTTCGTTTCTCGCTAACAACAATGTTAATACGCTTTGAGTTATTGCTCGACATAAGTAGCTTCATTCAGGCCACGGCACGCTCACGATAGTCTCTTCTCAGTGCAATTGCAAGTCAATCGAGGATCACGATGGATTATTGTTCCATTGGATACCGTGCGGTATCATAAATATTTTTCTATGTACATGCATAACGTGTACTTAATTTATTAATATTTACAAATACACAGCTTCTTAGATTGCAATTTTCACCAATATGAAAGTCTCTTTTTAAATGCGAGTTTCTTCTAGGTTCGTTTACTGCTCGCTGAAACTGCGCTTCTGCCACATTTGAGATTTGTCATTCTTTCTCTGAGCAATAGTATTTACATCTGTAAATGAGACGGTATGGTTATGAATTTACAAGTAGAAACTTTATATAAGAAGTCTTACATATGACTTTACCTGTCGCATCGCGATTCATTTCCGTTGTCATATCATCACTTAATGATTCCGGTAACTTGATTTTATTGATTTGTTGCTGATTCTGCATCTCAGACACAGTCGTGAATATTATGTTAGTAAAGTTCTTCAGTCCGTTATATGATTGTTCCAACTGCTTTAACTTGCCAATTAATTCTACGTCTGTTGTGCGTACCTCGTTCATCTATAATAATTAGAAATATTGATGATTAAAATGCCGATCAGTAGAGTTTTGTTTTAATGTGCACCTTTTTTGTTAATTGTTGAATCGATGCTAGAACGGAAGCCTGCTCAGACATTTTAACGCACTCCCCTTGCAAAGACATCATTGTTGTATTAATGGCCGCCGTTGCTTCTTGAAGTGAAACTAATTTTTTCTGCAACGATAAAAAATGAGATGTAACAATTTGATATTCCAAACATGAATTTATTATAAAATCTACATATCACATGATACTTACGCGATCCTTATCTTGGTCATCGGCGACCCATTGCAATTTGCTCGACAGGGTTTCATTAACATGCGTTAAATTATTTATTAAATGAGATATCGTGAGGTTTAGTTTGTCAGTCTTAACTTGCGTTTCGTCAGTGCTCAATATTTGAGGCTTTTGAGTAATGTTCGACAATTCTAACATAGTATGCTACAAAAACACGGCGATGAACAAGTTAATTTCATTTCTACTATTTTCATTTCTGCTTCTATATAATATTGATCGTATTTACCTTAATACTGCTAATGTTTTGTTGCATAGTAGTCTGTGCATCCTGTACCCTCATGTTCGTCTCTTTTAGGGTATTCACTGTGGCCCCGAGATCCCTTATTTGACTACCAAATGTTGCAACGCTAGTTGACAACTCGTCCAAGCGTTTCGGCAAATTGGCCATCTCAGGCGCAGCTTGAAAGTATTCTTGTACTTTATGCAAGATCCAGAAGGGTATGAGTCATCCCGGTCAGTAACCGATCGCAATTGAATTATCGATGTTACTTGTGCGGTTTTACCTGTACCGTAAAATTATTTATCTGCTGTTTAAGATCGGACAGTCTGGAGAAAATTATTGTTTGGTTGTTTTGGAGATCTCTCGACAACGAGTGGCATTTCTGTAAAGCGTCTGGGACACCTTCGCTGCCCGCTATCACTGTAATGTAAAAGAGATTAAGCACAAAAGTGCAAAAAAATATAGAATTGTGTGATATCATAATGATACTAAGTTCTGAAAGGTTCTAATTAAAAATATTTACAGAAATCGATTTTTCATTCGCATTGAAAAAATCTACTAAATTTTAATAAATATTTATTGGAAGTACTAATTAAATATTTCCTAAATGTAAACATTTATTACTTTAACTATTATTTTTTTATTAAATAAATATTTATTGTAAGTAAATGTTTAATTACTGTTTATGAAAAAAATATATATTAGAAGCTTTTTCATCTATTTCTTACGATACTATTTATGTTTCTGAACAGCGTATACTGAAAACATCATTTCAACATCATATTTGTGCTTTCAAGAATGCAATCATGATTATATAAGATAGTTATTAAGCACGTTACTGTAAAAAGATATTTGCTATCGTAAATTCTATATTTTAAGATTGAAACTGACGGAATAGCTCTACCCTAAGATTTAATAAATTTTTTATCTCAATGTAAATTAGATATTTAGATATAAAAACAATTATATTGCATATTAATTATATTGCATAAAACAATTATTGCATATAATTCAAGTTAAGTACACATATTTTCTTCTCTAATTATTAACTTGATTTAACCGCTTAATGTTGAACTTTGCAGATGCCTGACCAATACCTTGGTCTAACTCGGTTCGCAGAGCAGTAAGCTGTTGACGAACGTCGATGAATAACCATATCAGACTGGCGGTCGCTAATACTGAGGCACATGCTAAAAAAGCGTTACAAGCCTTAAGGAATCCGGGACAAACACGTCCCCTTCTGCCTCTGCATTTGCGTCCGTTTCTGGTAGAGACATTCCAATATTCCGAACGATCGTCGCTGCTGTCAGTCAACAATTCCTATAAAAATGTAAGAAAAACAAATGTATTTTCTATTAATCAGTATTGAAAAAATAATAACATAATCTTCATTTATATTACAGTCATCATTTCTTTTTATAACTCATATATCATTTCTTATTTTCCTTCTTCGCACTGAATTTTGTTTTAGATTTTTTAAGCACATTAGCGGAATATTTTCCATCAACGAGTCTGTCAGTATTCATATTTTGATTCACACTTTTATCTTATTTTCGGGGAACAGTGCAAACATTGACACAAATGGTTTCGAAAAAATAATTTGTTTTCGCGTCTTTGGTGTAAAATCTATGCTAATGCCAAATATATTTTTCATTATCTATGCATTACATATTTAAGGAGAATCTTATTTTATCTATCATTTATTTTTCATCATTCGCCTCGAGAACTGCCTCGACGTTGTTCTTCGCGAAGAAAAAATCGATACCGAATTTGCGAAGAAGTATTTAGAAAGTAAAGATACAAATTTTTTAATTTGTACCTTTACTTTCGAAACATTCCTTCTTTACTTTCTAAATACACTATTTACAAATCTTTCGCTGAGAATTATTGACACACATACATCTTTATTTTTCGATATAGTTACCGCCATTCAAACTTTTATTAAGTCTGGAAATCTGCTTTTGTATTCCTATATCATAGAATTCTGCTAGCCCTTTGAACGTCATAATCTCTTCTTTGATCTTTATTACTCTATTATTGTCAAACTTCTTTCCGGCTAGATATTTCTTAAGACCGGGCATTCAAAAAAATTCATAAATAAATCATAATCTTTTTATAGTATAATATGCTTGTAACTCAATATGTTTATAACAAAATGTCATGAGATGATGTCGTAAATTCTCGGAAGGTCTGATGTTCATTGATGTTCACGGTAATCTATATTTTGGATTTTTACCTGATTGGGAAAAAGTTTGACGACGTTGAGATGAAAGAAGAGGTCATGACGTGATTCAAAAGACTGGCAGCAGATCTTTGACGCAGGAATAAAAAAATTTATATTTTCTTACAAAAACACTTATTAACTATCAATAAGTATTTTGGAAAATTATGGCGATAACTATGTCGAAAAAGAAAAATATATGTATATAAATAATCTCACCAAAACATGGAAAAAATAATTTTGCTGAAGTATTTAAAAATTTATAGATATAACGGAATAAACCTGAGAATAATTTTATTGGACCATCAAAATAATTACGTAGAAAACTGAAGCATGACGAGTAATATTGCAAAAAGTTTTAACATTATATAACAACAGTTTGAGCGTCCTACATAATTATCTTGATCTAACAAAATTATTTTCAGATTTGTATCCAGTTAAAATTTTAGATACTTCAGTAAAACCGTTCTTGCCGTAAAGATTTGTGAACAGATTTTTTAATAAATTTAAGAACTTTTGTATCTTTATTTTTCGGACATCCCTTGTAATTATTTTACTCACCTGTGAGCTGCGTTTCCCGGAATTCCGGCGGGAGATAGCGTGCGCCGGTGCCAAGGCGTCAAGTTCCTTCCTCTTCTTCATCTTCTTCGTCGGCTGACGAAGTGGCACCGTCACCGCTACCGAGTCCATCTCAAGCAAAACTGCGCCGCCTATTTTTTAGGATATTCTTGGCGAATTCCCGATTAATACACTTCACTTTCAATGTTTTTCGACAGACACTGCACGATCGCCGTGAATTTGGAGAATCGTTCCGTTATCATTTCTTAATTATTAGTTAACAATATTGCTTGACCGCTGACACAAAATTTGCACGACTTTTCGATACTTATATGAGCTCAAACGGTGCGACTGTTCGGAATTAATCGGCATAAAAATCTTTACTTCAGTCTACATCTTTGTCTGTGAAAATATCGAAAAATATTTAATTTAAAAAATATCGCTTTCTCGTTGTGCTTTCGAGGTCGTCCAGAGAGCCGATACACTTTAATTAATTCGCAATTCTCGTTCAAATATTAATTGTATCTCGTATATCTATGCATATTCGTTAATTGATCACTGCTTCTAAAATTAATTATATTTCACGGATAAGTGACTATATTACAAAATGTGTAATAATTGAACGATATAACGACCAAAATTATTGTTCCAATTAGCGTCAAAGCAAAGTTTCATAATACTAATAGTAATTTAAAATTGATTAACACAAATATTAATTAAAAACAACTGATATAAAGCTCATTAATGCAAACAAACATGTCAATGTAAGTGCTAAGATTTCAAACAATTTTTTCTGATAAAGAAATTAATTTTGAATTAAACGCTCTATTAAATAAATTGTTAGATAAAAATAGGATTATAAATCATTACATTTAAATGTAATATTTTAATGTAATATTAGGCAAAAAATATAAGAATGAAAATTCTTGGTGGAAAATTGTATAATAATATTATAATTTTAATCAACGTTTCTCAACAACCTCAGCATTATTTTTTAATCTCATTGACATTTTCAATTCAGAAACGTCGATATTTTTATTAAATAATTTATTAAATAAAGATGTCCCACATATATCTATTATTACACTTCGTTATATCACGTTCGTGATAGTTGTGTATCTAAAGATCCAGATTTAAAACTCTCGATTAAAGTTTAATTAGCAGTCTATTATCGCAATGAAGCGATAATCGTAGCACATGATAAACAACGATACATTACAAACAGTGCAAACAAATCAACTGTCCAGACATTCTTCACAATTTCATAAATAAAGTGAAGTATAATTTGGACGAGAGACGAATTTTATAAGCGGATAAAAAAAATCCTACACGTGATTGCGATAGAAATCAGGAGATTAGGCTTCAGATTTCAAGAAACTAAGTGGACGAACGAACTTTATGTACCGAACGTTACAACGACGCGTTTGTCACTGAGGCAAGAAGTTCTTATCAGTCGGCCGGTACCTGATCACCTTTGCATTCACACACGTATGTACACATATATACCGATCGAAAAGCTGGATTTGAATTGAACACGCGTGACATGCAACGATGTACAATGACTATTACATCTTAAATGAAAGAATGACCGCATCAAAATTGCTCAACGGCGAGAAAAAGGCAAAGAGCTGGCTTTGATAAGAGCAATCGTTGTCGTAACGTTAATCTTTCCAAGGCTCTCTTTATATTTGTACGGCGGTAGAATTATTTGATAAACGCGATAACGAACACGAGATGTACTTTAAATGTCATCACGCTCGTAAGAATCTGATATACATAGGTATTTTTCAAACGAAATTTAATTGTTGATCCTAGTTACGGCAATTTGATGATCCAATTTGATAATAGAAAAGTTAACCTCGCTTCGCGAGCGAAGAATTGGAATCGTTTATATCGTTTTCTGTTTTAAACATAGTCGTCCAGAACGGATCGAAGAAAAACGGAATATATAGTATCGAAATTAATTTTAGATAATGAAATCGATTAGATAAGAGAGAGGGATAAATCTGCGATTAACTATATTGATTAGAGTTATTTTTTGACAACTTCGAAAATTCAAATTCTTTCAAAGCTTCAAAGAATTTAAACCTTCAAAGTTAATTTCTAACTTCCGAAGTTTAAGATGCCTTTAAAACTTCGAAAAATTTATTTGTAGAGAAAAAATTAAAATATATTTGTATATTTTTTATGAAAATATATACATATATGCGTTACTGTTAGCTATATTAAATTAATAATTATATAATTTTGATTCTTCGTTTTTAATACTGAAATTTCAAAGTTCGATGTTCGAATGTCGAAACCTTCAAAATAAAGTACCAACCTTACTATTGATACTCTTCTTGCAAACAAAATATACAAGTACGAATGTCAACCGTATTGAACTTTTTGTATTTTTGTTTCGTAACTGAATTGATTATTTAACTACGTAAAATCAGCGTGACGATAATATTATCACGACATTTAACCTATTGACAACTCAATTGATATTACTATAATTATGTAGTTATTGAATGACGGAATTATTATAGCTAAAACGAAGCAGCGAAAATTCATTTGTTCAAAAATTCTTTCATTTAGTCTCCTCTTATTTTATGTCCGTTCTTATTTTAACGCGATTTTAAATTCAATTTAAAGAGTTTCGGGTGCGAAACCATTAATTCTATATGATGTGGGTCGGTCGCGCGATCGTCTGGATGGAAATACGTCGCGACACAATTACTTGCTCGCGGCCCTGAACTCGATAAGATACCGATGTGCGAGGAAAAAAGGCCATTTTGTCGTTCACATTTAAATACTGTTTCAAAGTAGCTATATATATATTATATATTATTCATCTACTATTAGATTATCTATGAAATAAACTCTTATTAGACTATCGATAAAGTAAAGTTTAAAGACTAAAAAAATATCACAGCTCTTCATTAAGGATACATCCAAGAAGGAAGATAAAAAAAAAGCAATGTCGAGGGAGAAACCGTTGCAAAACAGAATTGAAAAGTCTTGGAATTTTATATGAACGTATAAAATTTTAATGCACTGAAACTCCAAGAAGGCCTCCGGAATTTTGGCAAATTTACGATAAATACGGAAAGACGTCTACTGAGTATCTCGCGAGTCGACGACCACAAGCAATGTTGCATGCATACTCAATTAACGATAAGTAAGACGACTCGATTACTGTAATAATCGATTCCGCTTAATCGCCACGGCTGAAATCCTCTTTTCATTGATACCTAATTAAATCGCGTGATTGCATTACGTTATCGTGGACGCATTTTTTGCTGAATCATGTATCTTCAAATCTTCGTTTTATGCACGACGTTGCGTGTCACTTGAATTATATGTTTCACGACGAAGTTGCGATAACGTACAATGAGGACGAAAGAAAGGAAGCAACTGCGTATATCGGCAATGCTAACGACAAATATTAGATACCTTGCTAATTAAGCGGATGTTGGTTAGCCGTCTGTCCTCGCGCCGATATACGCAGAACTTTCGTGCGTAATAGCTGTATGACTAATTCTGTCGATTAATTAACATTTAATACCACATGAAGCATCAAGCCTTTCATCATCGGTATCTCTTACATACACTCTGCAGACTACTCGCATTTTAAAAGTCTATACGGAATGAACGGTTTTGCTAAAGCATCTAAAAATTTAATTAGATACAGATCTAAAATAATTTTATTATTTTAGACCATCAAAATAATTATGTAGGACGCACAAACTGGTTGCTGGAATGTCAAAATTTTTGCAACATTGCCCATTATGCTTGAGCGTCCTCTATATAATTATTTTAATATTCCAACAAAATTATTTTCAGACATGTAAATATCTAGCTAAATTTTTAGCTGGATACTTTATTAGAATTATTCTTTCTGTACATAGATAGTCAGCTATCTTATCAAAGTACACTCGGTATTCAAAAGTATATATTGATCATTCTGATAAATATATCCAATTCAGTAAATAATAAATACGAAATCGATTATTGAATTGATAAACGAAAACGAAGTAGCTGATACAATACGTCATTACACGCGCAATCTGCACTTCATTATCTGAAGTAAATGTATTTAAAATAAATTACATACACTAAAAAAAATTCTAAATTTTAATGAATCATTTATTTGAATACCAACTAAATATTATATAAAGATATATTTATTTGATGCAAGAACCATAAATTTAATAATCATTTTTTTTATTGAGTAAATATTTATTAATATTATAAATAAAGTTAGCAATTCAAATAAATATTTATTAAAATTCAGTACGTTAGTTTCTCAATGTACAGAATTATCATGCCAACATTTAAGTTTGATTGGCGCTTCTTCTTACTTAACAATATCCTACGTTTGTTAAATTCTGAAGAAAGAGAAAAATGCAATATCGCGGAAGTAAGTGTCGACGATATATCGACTCAACATCAGGGTTTCCGCGTGTCTGCTTAAATATTCATTGCATTTGCGTCAGTAAGGGAAATAGAGTCGCGATCGCGCGACAATACGCGTGCAAGCTCATGCCAATGGCACGCCTCTTTTTCCATTCATTTCTTAATCAGGAAAAGCATCTCTTCTCATATGAATAAATAAAAATCAGTCGAGAAAAAAAGAAAAAAAACGACGAGCCAATTCTCTCATGGTCAGCGCCAATGTTAAGTGACGATTCTATGACAAATAAATTAATAACGAAAATCGGAAACTATTTCTCGTATGCTCTCATAGAAGCTAATCTTTTAAATGTAAATCTATGTAAATGCCAGGGACAATTTTACGCTCCTCGTATATGCTCTTTGCATTCGTATATGCAAATCAATTTTATCTCGCTCGCTTTTGACATCATCTAATTTACCACTTCCAGTTTATTTTGCATTTGTGCTTTCTGCCTTTAATTTCCTCTTCTTTTTTCATTACTTAAGAAATTAATCTCCTACATTAATTTCATTCAAATATAAAAAATATTTTTCCAATCGTTTTTCTGTTCCAATTTCCATCTATTTATATTTATTTGTATATGCATTCTCTCGTGTTTCTAATTTTTTACCTACGAGACATTCAATCCATTATTAACGTGAGATATACAATATGGTTACATTTAATTTCATATTTAATAAAAAATACTAAGAATTAATATCTTATATTAATAATGGATTAAATATTTTATAGGTAAAAAGTTAAAAATCAGAAAAATATTGTATATCTTTTATTAATCCCCCGTTAATATATCCCTTATTAATTTCATTCATATTTGAATATCTTCGATCGCTCCATATCCGATTTCCGAAACCTATAATACCTTCCTAACATTTATATTTTATCGCATTCGAGTTCCACATTTAATAATCGAAGGATGCAAAATATTCGAACAAGAAGAAGACGAAGCAGAGGAATAAGACGAGAAACAGGAAGAATGAATATTAGATAGCAAGCTCTCACACAGAACACGCAGAACTTGACCTACGAGGGGGATGAATTATAGAAGCGATTCCTAATCGATTACCGCGCGGCGGACGGAAACGGGTGGACGGCACAAGCAGCGACGGCGACGTCGTCTCGTTTTTCTCAGGCAAAAATTCTCAAGGAATGATCTGCGAATTGTGAAGAAACACAACGGAGTCCTGGATGACACACTCACGAAGTGTCGTCGACAAATACCGGTAATATCGCGAAACGACGCGCGGCGTCGCGACGCGGCACTCTCTCGCCAGCTGCGCCGTCCGATATCGACTCGTTGAGGGTTGGTGGGCGACTGAAGCCCCACTGGAGGGATTTTCCTGATAACAACCGTACTGCGGAATATAGGGAATTTTGAACAGTGCCGCTGAGCGACGTCGAGCGCTAATTTGATAAGACCATGAATTGGATTTGATTTTTATTATTTTTATCACGACTGTGTTTAAATACATGTTCTAGGATTTCATTCGGGATAGTTAAAAAAAACATGAATAGTGATTGTGAATTTATATATCAAAAAAATGATACATACTTAATTATACTGAAAACAAATATTGTTCATTTGATTAAATTAATTTAGTCGTCATTATTTCTTTCATTGGAAAATGTATATATTTAAATCAAATATATAATATGTTTGACTTAAATACATACATTATACATACATTATATTAGGTGTTGGAATTAATTCGTAGCGTTTTACAAGTGATGGGAAGTACTTTCATTAATGTATTTTTTAATGCTCATGTGAAATAAATAACATTCTTTCATTAAAAAACGCTACGAATTAATTCCAACACCTAATACTTTATCGAAAGAAAGGCAAATTAAATTACTTTAAATGAACAAATTTTCTTCTCAGTGTGAAAAAGCAATAATAATGAATTCTGTATTAAGGAAATGTATGCAGAAAATAACAAATTACAGACTGCAAATTACTACTTGAAACTTGAAAATACATAATAAAGAGTATTTATTAATGTTAACATTAAGAGTATTTAATGTTAATTTAATGTTAACATTAAATTAGTGTATATAATAAATAAATTTGTTTCTTCATTAATCAGATTTATATTAGATATTTAGAAAATACAGAAATATATAGCACATAAATTCATAATAATTTATATGAGATAATTTTAATAAATATCAAGACATTCTTAATTTATGTAATAAAGTTATTAAAATGCTTGTCTACATACTGTTAAAACATACACAAATTATTATATTATCTTTTGCATAAATTTTATTTTAATTATTCAATTATTAGAAACAGTGCTTAAAGTTTACAATTTCTCATGAGAGAAAGAGAGATTATAATAAATAATGAAACGTTATATACATCAACAGATACAAATAGATTTAATTAGAACCTTTCCTATTTTAATTCTGATAGCCAAATGCTATTTATCAAAAGATAAAGAAATTATAGTTCTCAAGTAAACAAAAATGACATTTACCTGATTTTATAGACATATCCATTTTCTTAATCTCGCCATACAGTATAGTTGCTAGCCAGGATAAAGCGATCAGCCAGAACGTGATCAATACAGCTGCTAACCACAAGGATATAATCCTTATATCCGACTTGTTACAGCCACAAGAATTGCTATGTCGGTTTCTAGACAAGATCCGTGATTTGTGCCGTCTGCAATTAAAAGATACCATCATACAATGTTGTAGTTATCTTAGCCCATATTAGATTAGAGATTAAGATTCGAATTTACCTATTCGGAACAGAGAAAACCAATATCAGTTTAATGAACTTTGCTCTGATTAGTCAAATTCCAATCTCAACTTCAATCGCAAACTCTAGTATGATATGATATATAAAATGTCATTTGTAGTAATATTCCTATTAAGCTCACTTTAGATGTACATAAAATTATATAAATGGAATTCTGTTTCAAATTCTGTCATGAATTACATTGTAGATCGTGTAAAGTAGGCTTTAAATATAAATATAAGTAACGTATTACCGCTTGACTTTCTTCTTTTTCTGAGGGGCAAGAATCAGGTCAGTGCTGTCGGAATCGCTTTCCGACAGCATATCGAGCAAGCTGATGGATTCTTTCGAATTCATCTTCTTCGGGGGCTTCTCCATCTTCGTCGGGAGCGTGTCACGAATCTCCGAGACCGTCGGATGATCGTGGCCGAACGCAACGTAACGTCATAACCTCCGTAAGATCCTTATTATCGTAACAGTCTCTTTTTTTTACAACAATGTATTTTCAATTAAGCTACTTTGGTTGATATTCTACCGCACTAATTCCTCAAGTATTTTGCAAATTAGGACGAAACAAAACACAGCAAGATACAACTCACGCACTCTAACTCGTCATAACCTATGAAGCATATCTGTTCCTTTTACGTGCACCTTCTACACTTTTCTTCGAATTTTTTCTTTAATTTTTTTGCCTCTTCCTTTTTGATTTTGAATAGCTAATTTAGACAATTCGTGTAGAAACCCATTTACCTTTTCGAATTTTTCCTATACCATGTAAACGTTTAGTAACTGTTGTACGATCAGCATTTAATTTTCTGGCAAGTTTTGAAATGGATTGTGCTGGATTTTCAACAATGCCTGCAATTCGATGTCTTCGAACTTTTTTGGTTGACCTGAACGTTCTTTGTCTTTCAAATCAAAATTATCACTTTTAAATCGTCGATACCAGTACTCACACGTGCTACTTGATAGAGCAAACTCGGAATAAGTTTCTTGCGATAAAACGATGAACTTCGGCAACCGTTTTTTTCGAATCAAAGCAATAAAGTAGTAGATGACGAAAATGCTCTTTATCACGTTCCATTTTCGATCACACTAAAAAGTATGGTTATGTTTTTCCATCATGGTGAGATCGAATATATTTTCTATCTGCGACGATATGAATGAATTTACTGTACTACGTTTTCTCCTCCTCTCGCTAGTTACTTCGAATTCTATAAATTACAGATTTACAAGTTCGAACTTGTGTTCGCACTATATATCGAATCGCTTCAAGTCCTTTGTAATTACTATCTAAACAAATATATAAAATGAGGCTCGAAAGAATCTATCAGTGAAAAATGTAAAAAGCCCATCGTGAAAATGTAAAGAGCCTACATCAGTTGTTCGGATGCACAGAAAATTCTTTATTTTCGTGAATGTAACAAAACGAATAAAATATATGTTTCGATTCAGGTCCTTATCAATATAAAATATAAATCGAAATTACATAAATAACGCAAATTCCAAGTTGATGATTCTCGAATTTAGTTCGTTCTTCTTTATTCAAATGTCAAATTAGTTATGTAATGAATAGCCCAATGATTATCAAAAATATTAATTTATACAATAATAATATAAAAACTTATAAAGTATGTAAAGTATACTTATAAATATATAAAGTAAAACCGAAGTCATATACATGCGTCACTAAGTAGAATCACATCGCTCATCAAATTGTCAGATTTGCTGTGTAGTCATTAAAAAAAAAAAACACAAAAACGAAAAATTAGAGAATTATTAAAATCATTTGTCTGAATTTTAATTATATCAACTTACATATAAGTGTTTTCTCGCGACTCGACGTAAAGGTCTTGTGGTGTCGACCAGTCTTTAAATAAGTACCTTTTCCTCTCGTCTAATATCTTGACATTTTCCCAATCAAAATCATGTTGATGACTAATTCTGTATTCTGTTATTACGGAATGCTGTGTAGTGTTCCAATTTATGTGATTTCTATGTTCATTTATGCGTCTTCAAACATCTACCTGTTTGGCCCACATATGATGCTTCACAATCTCGACAATCAATTTTATATACAATGTCTGTGTAAAATAGCTTAGGACGAACGTTTTTATAAACTGATGAATCCCCTATTAATCCCTTTATATGCTAAGTGTTAAGTCTTCTTTTAAAAAATTTTTGATCTTTTCTGATAAAAGTGCTATAAAGGGTATTATAAAAAACTTGTGATTAATTTTATCTTCATTATTGTCCGTTGTCTTATCTGTAGATGTGTTACCCTGGTTATTCCATTGTTTAAATTTTTTTGACAACCTATTTTTGATTTCAGAGAGTATGAGTTTCATACGTATATTGATAAGGAATTGAAGGAAACGTATATTTTATTCATTTTGTTACATTCACACAAGAAAGAATTTTCTGTGCATCCAAATAATTGTGGGCTTTTTTACATTAATTACTATAAGTTATGCTGCTTCGATTACACACAATTTGTTCCGAAATATTTTACGTGAACTACTCCGATTTCTACTTCGAGAATTTTACAACTCGAGCTGTGTTTAGATTCCGAATGCCACCCAGGTGTTATTTTATCCTTATTGTGTCTCTATCATGCCCTAGAGAACAGCAAAAAATCATTCATTTTACACTGTAAATACTTTGAAACATTCTTTGATTGGTCAATTCGCAAAATTCTTTTTACTGATTGATCAACGAAGTATTTGCAGCGCTAAGTGAATCGCATCCCGTATAAAGCCCAATTTTTCATTATCTGATTAACTTGTGGTTAAGCTTAATCTGATGTTTCACCTAATAGACTTCACTATAACATCGTTACAGTTGAAATTCATTGGATAAAATATCAGGTGAAGCTTAACCATAAGTTAATCAGAAAATAAAAATTGAGTCCTAACTTATGTAATTTAAGTTAACGCCGTGAGATGTCTCTGCATGCTATTTTTGACCCGTTTCTGCACACAGAATGTGGCAACACGCGGTGGTAATTGACCCGAGAGCGATGCATTCAGTATTACACCGCTCACTGAGCTCTTGCACTTGATTGGCATATATATTCTATTAGATAAAAAAATATAGACCAAGCACAGGTGCAAGAGCTCACTGAGCACTCAGTGAGCAGTTGTAATACTGAATGCACTCATTTAGTTTATCGCTTTTCCTAAAAGCGAAAGAACTTCCGTTACACGCCAAGCGTTACCATCCTGTCTGCAGGAGTCATTTGATGTCGTGTGCGTTTAAAACTCTAGAGTCTAGATATATCAAAGGCGCAAAGGTTCTCCATTTTTTACCTAATAATCACATCATATTTAAAAAAATTATCATATGACAACAATAAGCACTTATTTGACCACTAAATAAAAAAAATGGCGATCGAAATAGCCAATAAGAAAGTTGTCGGCATTTCGGCTTAGGTAAAAGGCTACTTTGGTATATCTATAGAATTTTAACGCGTTCAGAAAATTATAAAAGCGCCAAAAATTATTAAAATCTAAAAAATAATTTATCAATAAGTCAGTGCGTATAATTTCGCATAACGCATAAAACTGATTCTTCATTAGATTCTTCATTACCGTAGAATCACAAGCGTTGTTGTCCAATCAGAATCAAATAACTTGACGTTGATTGGACGGCAATGCTTGCGATACTGCGATTAATGTAGAACCAGCATAACGCATAGAGCGTAAGAAAATTAATCAATTAGAGTCTTTTATTTCATGAAAAATAAAAAAATTAAGCACTTTGATTGGTTCATTATTTTCGCACGATTCTTATGCTCCTGTCCTTACCAATTCGCAGAAATTAAATTATTGTGTAGGGGTTTTCGTTGTTACCATACAGCTAGCACAGAATTTATAGCAATATCGCTGCAAAATCTCTACAATATTGCTGTAACACGCAATGTTGCAGAGTATTGCTGCAACTTTTGTGCAACTTTATGCTGTACGTATCAACATTATCCCCTTTTTTTATGCTCAATAATTGAGAATGGATTAAAATGGATTGAAATTATCCGTATTTTAAGTTTAATTGAATCTAATTGAATAAAAAAATTTTTCATTTTAATGGATCCAATTGAAAATTACATTTTTTATTCGGAATTTCGAATAGAACAGTATTTCCTATGTGCATAGAAAAAGCTGATATTATTTTTAGATTGAAAGGCATAGAAATATATATTATGTATTTTCATGCAATTCTTATAAATAAATAAAAATGCATTCGGATTGAAAAGGATTTATTTTAACCTTGCGTGTTTTTGAAAATCTGAATTCATTTCAATCCATTTTTATTTACTGAGGAAATTGTCGTGTAACCGGAACATCTAATATATATAATTATATTGAGCCTTATATTTGGCCAGTATTCATGACTGTTCTTATTTTAAAATTGTCTTAAGATGCTAATACGTGACCGTTTACGACATCTCAAGACTATATTTAAATTAGTCTAAAATATAAGAATCAACTATGAATACCGAGTTAAGACATCTTTTATCATATTATAAATTCCATTATATATGAAAACTCATTTTGTGCCCTAATTTTCCAGGTACTTTATAGTATTTAATTTGTACATTAAAAGATACTACTTACAATTCAACAAAACGCTCGGATACGACACAACTTATTTTCAATATAGATTCATGCTAAAGAAAATCAAAATCTGACAAGTCCTCTGTGTTCTTTCCTTGTTGAACTTTTTATGTTTTTTTCCTTTTCTCTTTCTTATCCCAATATCGTGTGTCACATCTATTTCCTTCCAAATGTATAGAAGATATAATATGAGTCACAAAAACTCTTATTTCGTTCTCCTCCTTCAAGAAAAAAGAATAATCGTCATTAGAAGCACAATTGTCTTTTAGAGAATCTATGCTTTTCTGGCAAAAAGCATTATAGATAGTCCGAAAATAGAAATAAAGTGCAAAATAATAAACAATATTAAGTGAAAAAATAAAAAAATATTCCAATAATTATATTAGCGACGAGAAAATCTCTTTGTTTTTATTTTTCTTCTTGGTAAGATTTTTCAATGTTGCAAAAATATATTTGCCCTTTATTGAACATTTTTATTTTTATTCATTAAATATGAATGTTTGTGGAAACATTACGCGTTGTCGTCTGGCCGTTTGGTTGGCTGGATGTGACACAGCCGAATTTCAAACAACATCAGCTATGCCGACATCTTGCCTTCTAGACGTCCAGTTAAAGAAGAAATGAAAAATTAAAAAAATATGTATTAAATTATAATTTATAAATCTTGGGTCTATAATTTGCGTTAAATTGCGCAGAATTCCATTTATAATTTTACATATTGTCTTTATTTTTACGTAATCAAAAAATAATGTATCTAAATGAAAAAAAAGTGCTTGCAAAAGATGCGGCTGTCAAACTTTATATTACAAAATTTTAAAAGATTATTTTAATTTTAAAAAATTATATTAGATCATTAAATGAGAAATGTCCGTTTTTCGTATTACTATTAATAGCAACCTTCCTTTGTTAAAAATTAACTTAAATTTTAAAAAAGGTTTTAAAGAGCTTAAAATCTCTACTTTCTAAGGATCACTATGTTTTGAGTTTCTGTGAGTTTGGTAATTTTTATATGTATAAAACTATAAGCTGGATAAAATAGGAAAATTTTTTTGTCACTTGAGCTTCACACGTGCTCAAAAAAATTTTAGAAAATTTTCTATTTTTTGATCGTAAAAACTCAAAATCGCTACAAAATTGTTTTTTAAAATTATTCCTGATTTGTTGTTACTGAGTTATCGCGGTTTAAATAAAAGGAGCATTTTGACTTTAATTGCTCATAACTCAGTTACAAATCGTCGTATCACAATTGAAAAAAACAGATTTTTTTAACTGAAACTTTACTTTGTCGAACAGTGATTAATTGTCAAATTTTGTTTGAAAACATGCAGACACTTCGTATTAATAATAATACGAAAAACAGACATTGTTTATTTAATGACCTAATATTTAAGAATAAATAAATAAAAGTCTAAACAGGATTCTAGAAAACGTTAATTAACGTTCTGTGTTCGTACTTACTTGATTGATGAC